CACCAGGAGGTAAAACGAGGATCACCTTTACACAAATATTGGTGGACCAGGGGTTAGCATCAATAAGTGTATTTTGAAATCAGTACTGACATATCATCGGAAATCGCATATTCTCTCTGCGAAATGGTGTCTCTAAGCCTCTCTAAACGTAAATATGGTCTACAAAGTTGGATATGGTAGGGGACTAGGCTCCTGTGAACGGAGCTAAAAGAACAAACGATCGTTATCCGAAGTGTTCAACGGTTCATTTCTCTTAAAAACGTAGTTAATACACTGGAAATGCAATCTGCTCTCAAAATTGACAAACCAGCTAATAAAAGTTTAGGATATCTGAACTAAAATCCAACTTTCCGAATAAAATACACCTCAACACTGGCGTACCTAAAAACTTGAGCAACTGATCAAGGTTCATGACGATTCCATAGCAGTCATGAGTCTAAAATACTTTCCCCGACTCCTCACTCATTCTGCAGTACAATAAAGATAGGGAGTTTTAATATGTATCAGATAAAATGCTTAAACTTCTCAAAACTGAACTATAAACGGTCATACCAGCTACTCGAGAGAAGCGTATCAAGATTGTATAACGTCCACTATTGCTAGTGACATAGAGGATATTTTTCTGACCAGTCATTTATTGGAATCTGAGAGTAATCTGCCGATGTAGTCAGATAAACCATATTTAGAGCTCCTTTCAGTCAAGAGTATCCTAAAAAAGTCTGCAAAAGAAACATTATGGTGCTAGTTATGCCAGAATACACGGACTTAGAGTATGAAATCTATGATATCCAAAGGTGAAGGTTTAATAAGGCAGCTTCTGAAGCTTAGAGACATATTTTCTCAATAAGTAGTAAAACTGTCCAAGAAGAACGGGGCTACTAGAACCAGACTAATAGAGATAATCTTCACTCCTTCCAGAAAGGTCTGAAAATTCGGTTTTAATTCAATGTGATAATTACTCATTATGGCATTTGTTTTCTTTCCAAAGTACGACATCTTATTCTGTATAACATACGACATTCTTGTCTTAAATTAACATGAACTATACTCAGCATATGATTTGTTACAACTAAGCATTTTTCATATATGTGATTTATTCTAATTATTAGTTAAACATGTGTGTATGAATCAATATACAAATGAGTGTATTTCCAATTAGACTCGTCGTGGTTGTTCGTACTTCTGGGTGCTTGTGGAATATATTTTGCTCTTCCGAACTTGGATTTATCTTTCTAGTTAGCGGAGGTGGGACGTGTCGGAGTAGCTAGCTTATCTGTTGTTGTGTCACAGGGTCTTCGTCCCGTTCTCAGATTAGGTGAACTCTTAATCTCCTTAAACACAGCAGTAATATACTAGAATCCATATGAATCCCGACGGGCTACACCATTTCAACTATCAAGGGTAAAACTGCATGGAAAGGCCTTGGGCCAACCATTCCGAAAACCCTGTCGAGGTAGGTTCCTGATCCACTCATTAAATGGTCACTGAGAAAACAGTTTAAGGACACGCATACGTTTAAAATCGAAAGCATCAAATGTTTATATTTTGACTCTTCCAATTTATCGAACAAAGTCGATGAGTTTTATGAACTATGTAGTGTAAATAATACCCTTTTGATAATAATATCCTGATAATGGTAACCTCAAATCACGAACAAAACACTAATAGTAGGTGGAAGGTCTTCGTTTCACAATCGCAAAGAGAAACTGGAATGGGACGTTGTGTTGTGCAGTACATACTTTACTGCATTGTGGCACATTTAAACAGTAAAACCATAACGTACAACCCACAATGACAAAGGCGTCACTTGTAGCTCAGTAGGTGTCTCAATGATGAACATAAGCACGCGACCAGTGTTTCAGAAACTTCAGCGTCTAAACAAGGATGCATCTTTTGGACCGGACATAGTTCACTCGCTCATGCCAAAAGATACGTCTTCAAACTTAGCAACACTTTTTAGAGCAATGCTTTCACATTGGCCGAGCTAGGAAGTGATTTCGGAACATTAGGAGCCAACACTATGAACCTTCAAACTAACATCAGATGGTGTTCCTTCCAATACTCTCATGGGTTATGGAATCCCTGTTACATGATGACATACGTTACTACCAATTATCTGCATGTTTCTCGTCACCCAGAAAGGTTTCAGGAGGTGTCATTCCTGCATTGCAAGTCTTATAGCTAAGGTAGACAGATGGGACATCATTTTCGACTGCAAAAGGAAGATGGATGTGTTATATATCAATTTTTCAGAAGTCTTTGATATGTTCTATCATGGATGTCTTATCGATAAGCTTGTAGCGTGGTGTCGAGTGGAGATTGACTATGAACACCGCTACCAAGAAACTCGTTCCAAATGACTCCATAAAAACCCCGAGAAGCCAAATATCAGAAGGCAATTAATAGACCAAATCGAGATATATTCGCTGGCGATCTCGTGGCATCGGAAGGATACCGAGATCGTGCAAGGATAGAAGCTTTGTTACAGAACGTAACCGAATTCGCGCGAAGTTACAATCAAAGTGTAGGAATAAGAATGGAAGCCCAATATAGCTGTCATTAGCACAGTCAAACAAAAGCACATTAAAACAAGCACTGGTACAGTTGATCATAATAATAATTGTTTTTATTAAACTAGTCGTGTTCTCGTGATAAATGTGAGTCACTACAAGCTCAAGCTTATAGGAACCAAATAATCACTGATAAACTGACCTAAGTTATACTTAGGTAGTCAACCTTTTAAGGTTCGTATAAACTGCACATTGTCTCAGTCTACGGAATAACTCGCCGGAGTCCCCCAGGGTTCAGTGCTAGGACCTTTTCTCTTGTTTGCCCAAACAAATAGTTTTTTCTTAGCAAGTATTCGCCGGGCTATTACTTCTGATCGATGAAGTCAAACCTCGGAAGGAAGTTTGCAACCGGGACATTGAGTTAGGACTTCAGGAGGACCTAACTGAATTTCAGAGCTAGGCGAATAGCAATTGACCTACCTTTAATACTACATTGTAAAGTGGTTCATGTGAGGCGTGTTGTGAAGTACAAATACGGCTTTGGTAAGTTCTTTGCAGAAGCATCTCGGGCTAAAAAACATCATGGAGTTTTGACACCCTACAATTCAAATTCTTCTGCCAACTGTGATAGAAAGCCTCTAGAACCAACCTCACACTGACAACTATGAAGCTCATTTTCGCCCATTTTCACAATGAAACGCACATCTGATATTATTTCCCCCTTCGCTCCATAAGAACAAGGATAATCTGGCACATACTTAAAGGCGATGCCCTAAATTTTCTACCGACCGAAGCAGTTCGAGCAAATCCATTGTAGTCCTTCAAGAAGGAACTTGACATATTCTTGAGGACTTTGGATATCATTTCACCATAGCTTGCTAATGTTTCTCTTTACCAAGCGCATCTAGGTTCCAAACTAGAGGGCAGGTTGTCCTCTGAAACTAGATGCAGAAGTCCACCAAGCGAGAGTTTCTTCTCTTCCTTCCACAACCATTTGAACCATCTGAACCACTTGAATCACGTACGCACCCACGGCTTGCCGTCCCTCGAATACCTGTAATAGGTGCATTTTTTGTACATTTACATTACCACTATTATCATTCTTATTATTGCCGGCCTAGATCTGCTCACCTCACCATTTGTAAACTACGACTATCTGTTATTCTTAGATTTCTTTCTGTTCAAATTGCCTGCATATACTGTCCATACACCAATCCAGACAGTTATTTTCCTCTTCCTCCTCGATATTCTGGATTCATCATATTTCACTGTGCAATGTTTGCAACTAACTAACTCCCGTCTGACAATATGATAGCTGTAGGTCCTAGCGATCCTATAGCCCCAGAACAAACACATTTATTTATACTCAAGGAATATGAACTTCCAAATAACAACAGAATTCACAGGAGCTAGTGAAATCGAATGTCGAGACTGCCCATATTCGAAGTTAATTAGGACCATGCACAGTACCATAACATTTATTTATTCCTCAAAACAATCGTCTTCTTCTGGCACATTAACTTTTATTTTATTAGTCTTCAGATTGTAATTAACCAACCTCTTGCCTGGTAATATGATAGCTTCTGGTAACCAGAAATTCAGTGCTTTGAGACAAATGCACTTGATTTCTGAGATGAATGGGCCTACAAATAACTGCTAAACCGATTAGAATTAGTCCAATCGAATGGTTAGACTACTATACCCATTGGACATTTTCAAACACCTAGCAATGTACAGACAGGAAACAAGCGCGTGACCAAGACATTGGATATTGGAAATGGGTCGTTTGTATGGTACGTTGCATCTTGCAAATTTAGTGCACTATCCTTCACTGTATTTGAGGTTCATTAATTCTTTGGTCAATTCTAATTTAGGTTCAGTAATAACTTGCACTGGGTATTGTTCTCTCAGCTTAGTGAAGTAGCAGTGGTTTTTATAAATCGTGATTTGTAAAACTGCAGATCTTGTCTACATTATCCGTTCCAGTTGGCCTAAATTATATGAACGACTTTGGTCGATTCATAAATATCTTCGCAAGCTCACAATCACTCTTCCGGTTCAAAACCAGGTTAAGGATTACGATTAATAGTTAGATGATCCTAGGATCTGGTTGACACTGGTGATGGTTTTCAAAGCTAAGGTGACGCTAAATAAGCTATTTGTTAGAGAAAAGCATTGGTTTACCTAGTTTTTCTCTTATGTTTTCATCTCCTGTTGACGTTTAAGTTGCACAGGTTATGAATTCCCAGTTTATGGAAAGATCACTTACGACAATATCGAATCTGTTATCTTTCCTACTGATTTTCTAGTCATGCTCTGAGAACTTATAAACAAAATGAAGTTTGGACTTGCGACTCATCATCAACATATACTTCATGCCATTTTAGTAAAGGTCACTATCCGTCTTTATTATTACCTACACTAAACTCTGCTATAACCAGCTGCCTATGATTTTCATGACTTTTCATCTTCGTTTCCCCTCGTATCATTCACCTCTAAAAATTTAAATCAGATCCATAAAATATTACTAAGATATATGGCATTCTGAATGAATACGAGTGTGAACGAATCCATTAAAAATAACCGGATTTCTGAAACACCAGAAATAGATAGAAATAGCATCAATTTTAAAAATAGTGAACCCTTTTACTAGTAATATTTTCGGAATTTTCATGAATTTAGAAGGTATACTTCTCAACTCACATTATTTTCTTACCATTATTCTCACAATTACCCTGGAGGAATTTCACTCAGTGCATATCATTTTCATGTGACTTATTATCATTAATATTGTGATTACCATTGTTGATACCACTTTAACTAACTCAACGCTATTCTGCATTATGTTCACAGGGTTCGTTGCATTATATTAACTATAAACCAACACCTTTTAGCCTATCTTCTTATCCTTTTTTAAATGACCTATCAGACTTACAAATGACATTTTAGACATGCTTAAGTCGTGATCGATGTAAAAGTTCACAGTTTTAGCGTAGAACATTATTTCATTCAGTCACAACTAATACGTATGTGTCTTATTTCAACCACCGTAATATAGCATTTATGGATCTATAACTGTACAGTTTGACGAAATTATTGAAAACAACTATTACCTCAAACATTCCTTGTTTTCAATACTCTGTGGGGACTTTTGAACCCATACAAATTGTTAAAGTATGTTTCATTTGTGAATTATTCAACAACTGTCAATTTTGATTGGTGTTCTGTGTTTTAATATCCCTCTGAACTATCGATTACGTCGTAACTGATCACCTGCAATTTTTATCATTTTATTTATAGAAGCATGCTTCAGAAACATTCCAATCCACCTCTTGGTTTAGAACGGATTCATCGATATTTTTGTTACGTTTGTGGAACTCTTCTTCCACACAAGTTGGAAGTTCATGATTTATTAGTATGCCGAAAATGTAAAACATCTACGTGTATGCATTGGTTCAGTAATATGGATGCAACTTTCAATACTGAAGCTAAATTTGGCAAAATAAACCAATTTAATGATGATGAGTGTGAATCTACATCTTTATTCTTTCCATCAATGATTAGAGGGGCTAAAAAGATTTTAAGATCAGAAATTGCTTTAAAGGAGGCTTTGGAGTCACAATTTGAAAATGGTACATCACAATCAACATTTGATGGACCAACTATTAGAAAAGAATGTGCTTATTGCGGCAATGATAGAATGACTTATGTTACACTTCAAACTCGTTCAGCAGATGAAGGACAAACTGTAATATATACTTGTACTCAATGTTCTAAAAAAGAAATTGAAAATACTTGATTAAGTGTTTTGATTTCACTCATTAGTATTCATATTAGTTGAGTTTTGTCAACTAAATCTTAAGGTTAGTACTTTTATCATGACCCACTAATACGTTTAAAATACAAAGTTGAACACAAACACCTCTTGCTAAATAATTTATTATCAAACTGTACAACTTCTTTTGCGAATGAAAATTTGAGGCTTTATTCCTTGAGGAAATTTAAGTAGTGAATAAATACAATGTCATGAAAAAATAATCGTATTACTGCCCCCAAATACCCTGGTACGGCCGAGAGTGGGGAGAGTCCGCTCTCCCTCTCGAAATACTCTCACACGGCCACGCGTATATAGCCTCTGCCAGGGAAGTCCTACTCACTGCCTTCTCGTGGCGGGGGTGTTGTTTACGAAAATGAGAGGACGAAAAGCGAATGTCCGGCGCTTTAACCGGATTCCAAACCAATGGTGCACATGGGCTCCAGTATCCTGCGGGAACAAATGGCGAATGAACCAATTGTTGGTCACCGGCTTCCATGGGACTGCATCTCCTTACGATGCTCCACTGCCTTGTGGATCAGACCTTTGGGTTGAAGGCTCGGGGTGTGGCCCCCTAAGATAACCACCTGCTTCGGTTTGGGCACCCGGGCAGTATCACAGCCCTCACACATATCGGATGAGATTTGTGTGGCGCATATGTATTTGGTGCCTCTTTGTACCATTATCTATGTGTTGAAATAAATAAATAAATAATCGTATTACTGGGCTATTAATTGTACGTGATAACAAGACAAGGTTGGATAACTTCTTCAGGATCCATCTGACTGGTCACAATCACTTATCGTCCCAATATATAAGAAAGGGTCAAAATCATCCTGTGACAACCACAGAGGGATTAGTTTAACTAATATAATATCTAAAATACTAGCCTCGATAATTATCAGACGCCTAACTAAGACTCGTGAACTGCAAACACGAGAAAACCAAGCTGGCTTCAGACCTGGTCGTGGCTGCATCGATCACATATTCACCATTCGTCAGGTTCTAGAACACAGGCATACTTATCGGCGTCCGACGATGGTGGTCTTTCTTGACTTAAAAGCAGCATTTGACTCGGTAGACCGCGAGATTCTGTGGCAGTGTCTGTCATTGTAAGGCGTACCCCAGAAGTACATAAACCTTGTAAAGGCTCTTTACTCGAACACTACCAGTCGAGTCAGAGCTTATAGCGAACTGTCATCTACTTTTGCAACCTCAAGTGGTGTCCGTCAAGGATGTCCACTTTCCCCATTTTTGTTTAACTTCATCATAGATCTACTGATGGAAATAACTCTCGTCGACTGAGTTCTCGGGTATTGATCTCCATCCAGGAGGTCCACTTATCGACTTAGAATACGCAGATGACATAGTCCTGTTTGGTGAAGACGCTGACAAAATGCAGAGTCTTCTGGTAGCACTGAGCAACAATGCCAGGATGTTTGGAATGCGCTTCTCTCCCTCTAAATGCAAGTTGTTGCTTCAGGATTGGTCTGCGTTAACACCTGAACTAAGGATAGGGAGTGAAGTAGTCGAACGCGTTGACAACTTCACTTATCTTGGAAGTCTGATCAGCCCTAATGGGTTGGTATCGGACGAAATCTCAGCACGGATTCGAAAAGCTCGTTTGGCTTTTGCCAACTTACGTCACCTGTGGCGAAGGCGAGATATCCGTCTATCAATAAAAGGACGAGTATACTGCGCGGCAGTCCGTTCTGTTTTAATTTACGGCAGCGAAACATGGCCTTTAAGAGTAGAAGACACTCGTAAGCTACTAGTATTCGACCACGGATGCCTTAGAAATATTGTTGGCGTCTTCTGGGATAACCGGGTAAGTAATAGTGAGGTTAGACGCAGGGTATTAGGAAATGATGGTAAATCAGTTGAGGTTATGAATCTTCATCGACTGAGATGGTTGGGCCACGTGTTACGTATGCCTGAACACCGATTACCACGACGTGCAATGCTATCCGGTATTGGAAATGGTTGGAAGAAAGTTAGGGGTGGCCAAACCAAAACGTGGCATCAGTGCTTGAAGTCACTAACTTCTAGTCTGAGCCATGTTGGTAGATGCAGACTACTTGGTTGGGGTCCGCGTGACTATCGTAACCAATGGTTGGAGACTCTTGGTGACATGGCTCAGAGTCGATCACAATGGCGTCGGTGTATACACTCCCTGTCTTCCCTTAAACTAAGAGATTAAAATCGCTTCATATCTTTCTTTCTACGAACCAATTCTTTCTTCTTGTACTATATCTCTATATGCAATCTTTCTCTTATATATTACCATCTTTTACCTAACCACTGTTATGAATCCGGTGTTCATCTTGTTGTGCTGATGCGGTATGGCAACCTGGACCGATGCACATATGTGCCTGGTCCTACGCTGTAGCTGACTGACTGACTTCTTCAGGATGTGTAAACAGAAAAGGGGTATCAAACTAATAATTTAATATTAGATTATGTTGTGGATGGATTAAGGTAGTTAAATATGTCAGAGTGCTTAAATGAAATGATATTGGAAACGATTACAAGCGTAAGTCAGGGAGTTGTAAAGACGTTTAATCAGAGGGATTCATTTACAAACACAAAAAGTATGTGAGAAAACAATAATGGTGGTGATAGTAGATAAGATAAAGATAGGATACACTTCTTTTGTAAACAATGGATAGCTAAAGCTGGTGTTTTACAGAGTTAACGATGAAATATGCATAGATTCATATGGATTATGTAAATAACCTCAAAATTAACTTGTGAGTTAGTCGAATGAACGCAGTCAATTAAATGCTTTCATCTCACTGTCTTAAAACTAGGCTGCAATAGGTTCTCGTATATATGCTGAAAGCGAGCTCTGTCTTTGGTCTATATGGTTTGCGTGATAAGAGTAGGTGAACCGGTAGATTCACACAGAGGTGACCAGGCAGGGGACCCTATCTCACAGATACACAAAACGTTTATTGTTAATAAGATTTGATTGTAGTTTTACTGAGTAAATTGTTTTATCCCTGCCATCGAATCGCTCAGTCATTAATTAAAATATTAAGATAAGATAAAATGCAATTAATTACACCGATATATACATAGTATAGATCAGTCGGTTGAAAGTTGATACTTCTGGGGATATTGTATTCTCACTTGATGTTCTTTGTTCACCAGTGTATTTCTAACATAATTTATGTTAAATCTGTAACTAAGTTGAGTCACACGCCAAAGATATTAGTTTGCTTACTATTTGGCTACATGAACTGTTATTGCGTTGCATTTTGAACTTTCAGTTTATTTTTGGCCCAGAATTCTGCAAATAAAAGGTCGAGATCATCTTAGACGCTTTTTTTCACGGATTGCTTCATAATTAAGTTTGAAAAACCCGGCATAATGTAGTCATTAAGCGTGTCAACTTCTACGGAAAACATAAAAATACCATATTTATAAATTCCCATGAAGAAGTTGATCTGATTAACGGTCAACATCCTTTCAATGCTTGTTAACCACGATAGAGAATTAGGTCTACCTATCTCATTTCTCGATGTGCTAACTTATTCACAAATATCTTGTGGAAGTTGCTCAAATTTGCATTGTTATCCTTTACAATAAACTATAATATTAAAGTTTTATTTTTGTCACATCATCTTATTTATCATAAAATGAAGTCTCAATTTCATGTAAATACAGTTGTACAGCTTGATAATAAGTTATTTGTTTCACTTTGTACTTATCTAATGTACGTATGAGTTTGATAATTCCTCGTAAAATACTCTTCATCCCACTTATAATTCCTGTGATTGGGACGCAACCCTAAATAAATCCAAACACGTGTAACCCTTCAGTAAATTAGTATATAGAGCAGAGTTCGAGTGTTTGTATATTAAGTATTTATACCCAATTTCTAACTAGTAAACTCTTAATTAAAGATATCGCTCTGTGTCCGAGGAACTATGTCAGTCCTGTAACCTGTTATGACGAGTTGAGTATAGGAAAAGTTGTAACTTTTGGGACTATCTTCCGGATTATCATTATTTATATTTCTAGTGTATAGTTAGCTAATAGATACTCGTATCATTGTATTTATATATTATCATTTTAAGCTTCCAGTTGACCCATTAACTGTCTTTAGATGTTTTATTATCCTTTAATTATTGGTAACTAATTGTGTACTGTTCTCTTCACTCCCTGCCACATGAGGCCTAATTGCATTTGAAGTATGATTTATTATTTGGTGTTCTGTACAGTCTAATCTGTGTATATAAGTTAATAGATGTTTGAGGTAGTTGTTGGCTGAGCCGGGTAGTTGAAATATAGCTATAGTAGGACCCGGCTGCTAATTTCCCTTCGGACTCAATGCAGAGGACAGAATAGTAGACTAGAGAGGGAAAAAAATATATTGTAATCAGGATTTTGACTGGTAACTTTAGCACATGATACCGATTAGTGTCTTAAGTCATGACAAAATTGTTGACGGGAATTTCAAGCAGAGAGAGAGAGGAAATAAATGATAGCAACAGATTAAATTTCTGATATTGGGCACCAAGGAATCTTAGTTAATGAAGCGGTAAGAAGGAAAATAATCCTGCATTCAGTAGATAGCTTCAATGAAACTATTATTTTGAATTCACTTCAGTTCTACGAGAATAAAAAAAAACGTTCAACAGAAGAAAGCGATCTCTATTACTGCAGAGAGGATGTATATATTGTTACAGAAGTAAGAGAAGTTCATTAAACATCATTTGAAATTTATAGAAAGACTAAATTCAGAGTTGATGAAACCTTCACTTTCTTTAATAATGGTGAAAATTGATAAAGAAATTTATCAATTTCGTACAGATGTCTCCATAATAAATAAATCCATGCGTTAAGAGTTGCAAAAACCGTTGATGAGCGGTAGTTTAACTGGTTTAATAGTCATATCTAATCCTTCCAGTGATTCAGTAGAGGCTGCTTCAGAAACGATCCTAGAGTTCAAATCTCGTTATGTCCGAGGCAGAATGTACAACTACTGAGTTGTCAAATGCCAAACAGGAACATCATTCATTAAATGTACGTAAAATTATTATAATTAAACCAACTTTCATT